TTTAGTGTGAACTAGGCATTAATGGTTTGATTAACTAAAGCAGGGGTTTTCAAAGTGTGAGGCGCGCCTCCCCAGGGGGCGCCAAAGCATGTCAGGGGAGGCGCGGGAAAAAATATTATATAATAAAAATATAATTATTAAGTTTAATTATTATATGTATTTCTTATTATATTTAAACGTTTTAATTAAACAAAGCTAAAAAAAATTATACGTCAAAAATAAAACCTTTTTACGTGGACAGGACCAGGTGATGAACCACGACCTTTATGTGTGGTTTGTCAAGATATTTTGGCTAATGTCAGCATGAGACCCGCTAAACTTCGACTGTTTTGACTGGGATGGACAGTTCTTGGATCTGTTCTATTCATATTGAACCATCATTCTAGTTTTAAAAACGTTAAATTAAAATACTTGTTATTACTCTGTAAATAATTGCACTTTCATGCAAATGATGATAAAAGTGAGTTAACAGTCTGACATCTGTCTGTGTCTTTATATACACTGTATATATATATATATATATATACAGTATGTGTGTTTGTGTGTGTGTGTGTGTGTGTGTGTGTGTGCGTGTTTAGGAGAAGGAGGGCGCCAATGCATAAGTTGTGTCAAAAGGGAGGCCCACTGTCTTAGACTTTGAAAAACCCTGAACTAAAGAGACCCAAACTAAAGTGTTGTCAAAAAATTTGGTATGAAAAACAAAGCAATATGCTAGTGAAGTGTAATACTGACTCACTCGTGTCTGCGCGTAGCAGAAACTTGAACAAAACTCTTTGAAATCAATGAAATGTTAAAGCTCCTCAAGCCGATGATGTCAGATCCTCTTCAGCTGTCTATAAACGGCACAACAGCAGTCCAATGTGCTGGAAAGGAGTCATAAAGAGTCATTCTTCTGCAGGACAAAGCTGTGATTATGTGTTTGGATCAGATGAACGGGACGCTCGGCTGCCCCTTCGCCACATTCCTCATTGGCAGAACGGCTGGACGTCTCTGGATCTGAGGTTTCAGCGCTGCGCTGGAGACACAAACACAGACTAATGAACGATACGGACACCATTTATAATGCAGTCAAACTCCGGCCTGAACATCTCCAGCACAGCGGCACAATAGGCCTCAGTCAGGGTGGCTCTGTGTTTAATCTGTCAGGAATGAAAACAAGCCTGCGATAAAAGTGCAGAGCGAGATCGCGACAATAGCTCAGCTGATGAAACGCATTTACAAACGCTTTCAGAAGACAAAACTACAGGTTTGAAGGTTGTGAGAAAATGATGTCAGATGGGACTTTTTTATAAAGTGCACGACATTATAAAAACCCAGCTGACTCATTCCTGAATTGTGGTGAGATGAAAGCATTTTCCAATGATTTCCCTCAACTGGAGTTATGTACAACAACTTGTGTCATTTACAGTAAACCGGGTCCATTATTATTGTAAAGACTATTGTTACAGGGAACTTTTGATTCTGTTACTTGCTGTTTTAATTAATTAATTGTTGTTTTCATGGGGTACGCAGTGGGGCAGTAGGTAGAGCTGTCGCCTCACTGCAAGAAGGTCGCTGGTTTGAGCCTCGGCTGAGTTGGTGTTTCAGTGTGGAGTTTGCATGTTCTCCCTGCATTTGCGTGGGTTTCCTCCGGGTGCTCCGGTTTCCCCTACAGTTTAAACACATGCGGTACAGGTGAATTGGGTAAGCTAAATTGGCCGTAGTGCACAAGTGTGAGTGTGTATGGAAGTTTCCCAGAGATGGGTTGCTGCTGGAAGAGCATCCATTGCGTAAAACACATGCTGGATAAGTTGGCGGTTCATTCCGCAAGAGAATGACAGAATGACTCAAACCCGAGGACTCGAGAGGTGAACGGATCAATTCTTTTTTCCAGCTCTAAACACATATGATTGGCCCAACCCAGGCTCATTGTGGAAACGTAGTCCCGCGGACGTTTCTGAAGATCGTGGAATACGTCCCGGCGGGCACGTACGGCTGCAGTTTTTGTTTTTGTGGAACGCTAGAGGCCGTTGTTGCGTGCTTTTTCGCACCTCAGACGCCTCTTGCGAGCACGGTTCGCGCCCGCGCTGTTCTCGCGTGAACCCGCCGGAGGCCGCTGTCCGACTGACCGGGTGATTGACTGCACGACCGGCCAATCGGCGGACTCGCCCTCCTCCTTCCCTGAACCCAACCAATTTTACCAATCAACCCGCCCGCCCTCGCTTCCCTAAACCCGAGCAATAGTTCACAAAAGCTGTCAAAAAAAGTAAAAGCCCTGATTTTCTTTTTATTTCACCGCGTTTTCGGATTTCGCCGCGTTCTCGCCCTGTCACGAAACTCGTTCACTTAATTTTTGGGATTCTGTTTTCGTCTTACCTGATTGCTGGAACTGCTCTTCCCCAGACTCGAAGCCGGTCGCCGTGGTCGACCCCTCTCTGCATCTTGAGCCTGCCGACGTACACGCTGAGCTGAGTGGACAAACGGGTTGGAGCGCGAAGGCAAGCGCAAAACGGAACATCGTCACATCTCGTCATCGCCCCGCAGCGTTCGCTTGAAAAAAATAAACGCGGTCGTACGTACCCCCGGGACGTATTCCGCTGTCTCCAGAAACGTCCACGGGACTACGTTTTCAGAATAAGATTGTGTTGGATTGGCCCCTGATGAACGAATGACTCAGACTTGATAGAGGACTCAACAAAAAAACAAACAAACAAGTAAACACTTTGTAAACACACAAAAAAAAAATGAAAATTAGACTTAATTATTTGATAATAATGGTGGAGACAGCCAAAAAAAGCTATAGTTTGAGTCTTTAAATAACCTATTGTTAACTGTAGATAACATTAACTAACAAAAAGTTAGTTAAAGATGTCCTAAGACAAGAATGGGTATTGTTTCTTAGGTTTTAAGACAACTATTATGAAAGGTGTCAATCCATTCCAAAAGCTGACTAGTGTAAAAAAGTATCTCAGTGATATAAATAAAATAGAGAAACAGATCTTACATTTTATATACAGTGGCTTACTTATTGCATTTGTGTTACTTTAAGAAATTGTTTTCAAATACATTTTAATGTAGTTTTTAATGCTTAAAGTGTCATGAATGTGATAAAAGGGCATTCATACATTATAATATAATAGGGTATATGCCGAAGCATGCTAATAGGACTTTTAATTTGCCAGTTACTGGGTTAATCGTTTCCGACGAATTGTAGCTATGCCAATACAAAATTATCACGTTTAAGGTCTGTTTTCTTTAAAAATCAGCGATCTTCACTTGCTGAGTGATATCCGATATAAAGTGGGTCTCAGATTGTACAAGAAGCACTGCATTAAATTACATTTCCCCCCGCCATGTCTTTATAATATGAGCAATTATTTTACCCCAGTATATTCAATGGAGCTTCTGCGCTAGCCTGCCGATTCTAACGGGCGCGTGTGAGCAAACGGCTTTTTGTCTCGTTTTACGCTTGAGCAACTAAATGAATGCCAAAGTCTATTTAACTGGATGTATTTTAATGACATTACAACATCAATTCTGTAAAAGGAACCGTATAAAAATGGAAAGAAATTCACAATAACAGGTCACTGGAAGTGTATCAGTATGGGAAACACATTAGCTCGGCATATACCCCATTAAAATCATAATTTAGGCAGTATTAGTGTATTATATTTGTATTATATTAGTGTATTATATTGTATTATATTAGTGTATTATATTAACTGATAAACTTTAATAAATACTGTAGTACTGTATACTTTAGATTTTACTACAGTAAACTGGTGTATTGTAGTATAGTTTTAGAAAACTACAGTGGGTCATTTGTTTATATTAGTTGTTCAGGTATTAACTTAATATTGTA